TAACTTGGCCAGGAGTTACGTAAAGGCGACCTGGCGGCTAATTGCTACTGACCTGACCCCGACTTGTTGCAGCAACACTGCCGCTGGGGTCACAGCCACGGCTGACTCTGTACGGGAGGTTGCCGCTGGGATCACAGCCACGGCTGACTCTGTACGGGAGGTTTCCGCTGGGGTCACAGCCACGGCTGACGCTGTACGGGTGGTTGGCGCCAGTCAGGTGGAAGCTATGACTGCCATTGTATCGTGGCTGTTTTAGAAAGGGTAGCAGATTTTAGGGAAGAGAAGACAATAAGCGTAAGACAAAACAAAACAAACAGTTTATGTAAGCTTTACAAAACCAATAACAATGAACACAGGGCGTTGTGGCGATTAGCCTTCATCAGCGCCTAAAGACAACACAGCACACATACACAAATATGCACTAACTATAATGTGACTACATAGGACTATTATGAACTAAATAAATTATACTTATCCGTGTCCCTGGCGAAAACCTCGTTCAAGAGGATAACAGGACAGGTACTTACCTGAATATCGCCACCGCGCGGACGGGAAGTGAAAACTAGGTCGGTATACATGGGTGATGGGAGGAGTTAACACCAACGGGCACAACAGTGTTCCTTGCCTGTTTAGCTGATGGAAGGCGCCCATTATAACAGCATCAGTTGCACTCCTGACCGGAATATCCCCCCCCCCCCCCGAGATATTCAAACAACATTAGGGAAGCCCGTATGCTGGGGCCTCTACCACAACCACTCAGATTGAAATGTATTTGGTGTCATTTGACATACACAGATGAGCATCGGACCCGCCGCAAGCGCCTAGCCCACCCATGTCTTCACACGGTACTGGTGCCCCCATATAGACGTCATTCAAAATATAAACAATAAAACATCAAATACAACTTTTGTTTTTTACCGAAATTAAACAAAACTTCCAGTAATATTGGCAAAATGTTTATGTACTTCCACGTTGTACTTGAAAAGGTTTCTCCTGTTTACCATTTTATGTGTATTGCAAAGTCTATGATCAGATCCATAAACTAATCTTGTGTAACACATCTACTTCTATACATAGTAGAGGTCAGGCATCCAGCCTGGCTTGTTGTTCTGATGGGAGTGTTGTCAATATACTTCCACCGAGAAGATCAGTGCTCAGCTCCAAGGCTTCTTTTCCTCCTCATTCACCGGTTGTAAACTCCCGCAGAAAGTTTTACTGATACAGTTTATCTATATGCAGACTGTTGGTTCTCAGGTAGATGCACTCCGACTTCGAAGAATGCCTCCAGTTAATCGACTCCTACGACTCTGTGGCCCAGAAATCCACACGGGACATTCGCCTATTCAGTTATGTCCGATGCAATCCTTTCCATGCTTGAGTTGGTATCTAGTTCATCAGTTTTGCCCTCTGACGTTCTTTATAGGGTTTTCTCCACCCATCTGTGAATCCTTTTATTATCTATTGTCGCCGTATGGGCCAGGAAAAAAAAAACAGAATAGAGCCACTACCACATATAAGCTTGTTGTAGAAAGCGACTGAGTAGGAGTTTGCTGAAATCGGATGTGTTATCCCAGAAGGCGCAGCCTGGCTGTAAAACACAACATATAAGCAGCTTTTATGGGGGATCGCAGAAGTAGAAGAAAGGGAAAGAAGGAAAACCTGTTTGGTGATTCTATGCTCGTTTCCTGTCAGGATGTGCCCAGTCTGATTGATACACCCCAGCAACAGCCAGCAGTCTAAGCCAACAGCCAGTAGTCTGTGTGAGAATTTCAGGCCGGGCTAACAACAGAGAACAGGCGAACATCTCCGTTAGCGCAGTCTACGGTAGAGAGAGAGAGAGAGAGAGAGAGAGAGAGAGAGAGAGAGAGAGAGAGAGAGAGAGAGAGAGAGAGAGAGAGAGAGAGAGAGACAGACAGACAGACAGAGACAGACAGAGAGAGAGAGAGAGAGAGAGAGCGGAAACATGAAACGTTAACGGCTGAAACGACTACTTGAAATTGACCATGATCATATCAATGTCGTCATTTCAGGTCATCATCATCGTCATAAATTGCAACTTCTGTCGTTAAGTGGCGTGGGGAGGAACAGTTTGCGATCCATTGCTTGATGGGCAGCAATGGCTATTGTCATTCCGTGTCGACGTAGAAGCACTTAAATGTCATCAATCCATGTCCGTCTTTGCGGCCTCTTGCTGTCACTTCAGATTTGTTCATGTGTAGCGCCTGCGTTGGTAATTGTTCTGGCTGCATTCTCACTAAATCACCACATCATTTGACCTTCTGTTTCTCCATGAATTTGCTGCACGGTGTTGTTACTACAGTCTCTCTGGTAATATCATTTCTAACTTTGTTTCAAATGGTTAAGTTGGTGGCCTTTCTCGGGTATCTTATTTCACAGGTGTTAATTGTATGTAGGTTAGCTTTTGATAAATGTCCAAGTCTGGCACTGGTAGCGCAGTGTTGGTATGAATGTGCTGTTTATAATCGTGTTTTTTGTTTTTGTTTTTTTGTTTTGTTTTTTAGAGCTCATACTTGTTTTTGGAAGTCTTAACAATGGTGTCAGTTGGTATACAAGTGCACTGGATCGTTGGCATCTTGTTTCTATTTTCCGATCTATTCTTCCTTCCTTCGAGATTATACTTCCTAGATATTTAAGTTCTTTAACTTGTTTCAGAAAAGTACCGTTCAACGTTATATGTAGCAAACTGTGGCATTTTCCGATCTATTCTTCCTTCCTTCGAGATTATACTTCCTAGATATTTAAGTTCTTTAATTTGTTTCAGACAAATACCGTTCAACGTGATATGTAGCAAACTGTGGCATTTTCCGATCTATCCTTCCTTCCTTCGAGATTATACTTCCTAGATATTTAAGTTCTTTAATTTGTTTCAGACAAATACCGTTCAACGTGATATGTAGCAAACTATGGCATTTTCCGATCTATTCTTCCTTTCTTCGAGATTATACTTCCTAGATATTTAAGTTCTTTAATTTGTTTCAGACAAATACCGTTTAACGTGATATGTAGCTAACTGTGGCATTTTCCGATCATTACTTCAGTTTTAGTAGTATTTATTTTCATGTTATATCTTCTGTTGAACTTGGCCTGTTTAATTTTTTAATTTTTTTTTAATTGTTTGCATGAACTTTATTTTCCTCAAAATAAATCCAATTATTTAGCCTTCTTTTTAATGGTCTTGCAGTCTACTCCCATCTTTGTAGAACAGGCACTGATCGTCTGCAAATAGTAGCTCATTTGTGTGTGTGTGTGGAATCTAATTCCTCCTCTGGAAAGTAAAGTTCCTCGTTTCTGCTCATTCAATACCCCATTTGTGGTAGTGTTCGCTGTTTACCTTCCCGTCCATTTGAGATATGGGCGGATAAGATTGTGGGTGCAGCCATTATCGTCTGCCAAGGCAACAGAAAGTTATGCACTTTAGGCGGACCCCTGACATTTGACAGCCACAGGAATATCCTCCGCCTTGCCCTGGCTGCTCTTGTAATGATTGGAGGTGGGAAGGGGTCGCTATTGATGGCGGATATGACGTCGCTGAATAAATGGCAAATCTGTGATGTGTGCTCACTGTCATCATCGTCATCCTCATCATCACCACCTACACCATCATCACTGTATGCAACTATAAACTAGTCTGTCTATAGTTGGTAGGCATTGTTATGTGTCCTCATGAGCAAGGCACCCGCCACAGTTGAAAGAGACCGGATGGAACCATTTGTGGCTGTCAGTGTGTCTGTTGTCTAGGCTGCTGGCTTTTAACTATGTCTGTTGTCTCTCTATTTTTCCTCCTACTCTTCTCTTCTCTTCTCCTTTCTTCTCTTTTCTTCTCTTCTCTTCTCAGCTCTTTTCCTTTCTTCTCTTCTCTGCTCTTCTGTTATCTGCTCTTCTCCTTTCTTCTCTTCTCCTTTCTTCTCTTCTCTGCTCTTCTGTTCTCTTCTCTAGTCTTCTGTTCTCCTCTCTTCTCTTCTATTCGCTACTGTTCTCTTCTCTTCTCTTCTATTCGCTACTCTACTCTTCTCTACTGTTTTTTCTCCCCTCTGCTCTACTCTTTTTTTTTCTCTTCTCCTCTCTTCTCTTCTATTCGCTACTGTTCTCTTCTCTTCTCTTGTATTCGCTACTTTTCTCTTCTCTTTTCTTCTCTAGTCTTCTCTTCTCTTTTTTCTTTGTTTCTTTGTTTCTTTCTCTTCATAGCCTGTTTATTCTTCTCTTCTTTCTCAGATGTGTCTTCTTCTTCTTCTTCTTCTTCTTCTTCTTCTTCTTCTTCTTCTTCTTCTTCTTCTTCTTCTTCTTCTTCTTCTTCTTCTTCTTCTTCTTCTTCTTCTTCTTCTTCTTCTTCTTCTTCTTCTTCTTCTTCTTCTTCTTCTTCTTCTTCTTCTTCTTCTTCTTCTTCTTCTTCTTCTTCTTCTTCTTCTTCTTCTTCTTCTTCTTCTTCTTCTTCTTCTTCTTCTTCTTCTTCTTCTTCTTCTTCTCCTCCTCCTCCTCCTCCTCCTCCTTCTTCTTCTTCTTCTTCTTCTTCTTCTTCTTCTTCTTCTTCTTCTTCTTCTTTTTAACATGTACCGACTGTAAACTTTGGTAGAAAGTTCTCAAACGCTAACTTCTTGAATGTTGACTTGTTCGAGTACTTGAGTTTTGCGTGCACATCTGTTTTATAGAGCTGACTTGTTTGTATGTCGAAGGACACTAATTAGTCGAATTTTACTTCATGCTTGTTAAGGGAGCTGTGGGTCTGTTTCTAACCCCCGCCCCCAACCCCAATGAGGCCCCGGAACCCACTCATTGACCCCAGCTTCTAATAACAGACATGGTTTGTTACGGTGCCATTGCTGTTTCTAGAAACAAACTTGTGTAATTACCTCATTGCTCGACAGTTTGTTTTGTTACCCAACTGTTAGTACCACCAGTACGGTCAGACGACCAATGCCTGGGGACTGACCGAGTGAAACATACCTTCTAATGTGTGGTCATCTGTGTTCTTCTACCCTCAGGAGCTGGACAGTGAATTTGACCAGTGTGCTGTCTGTATAGAGCCGTACAAAGCCCATGATGTCATTCGGATCCTGCCCTGTAGGTAAGTCCACTATACAGCTGCTGGTCCTTCATGTGTATGTGGGTAATCCTAGGTGTATGTCTTGCTGCGCGTATCTTTGTGAGCGGGTAATACTAGGTGTATGTCTTGCTGCGAGTATCTTTGTGTGCGGGTAATACTAGGTGTATGTCTTGCTGGGAGTATCTTTGTGTGTGGGTAATACTAGGTGTATGTCTTGCTGCGAGTATCTTTGTGTGTGGGTAATCCTAGGTGTATGTCTTGCTGGGAGTATCTTTGTGAGTGCGTAGTATGTCTTTGCTGCGAGTATCTTTGGTGTGGGTAATAATAGGTGTATGTCTTGCTGGGAGTATCTTTGTGTGTGGGTAATACTAGGTGTATGTCTTGCTGCGAGTATCTTTATGTGTGGGTAATCCTAGGTGTATACTTGCTGCGAGTATCTTTGTATGCGGGTAATACTAGGTGTATGTCTTGCTGCGAGTATCTTTGTGTGTGGGTAATCCTAGGTGTATGTCTTGCTGCGAGTATCTTTGTGTGTGGGTAATACTAGGTGTATGTCTTGCTGCGAGTATCTTTGTATGTGGGTAATCCTAGGTGTATGTCTTGCTGCGAGTATCTTTGTGTGTGGGTAATACTAGGTGTATGTCTTGCTGCTAGTATCTTTGTGTGTGGGTAATACTAGGTGTATGTCTTGCTGCGAGTATCTTTGTGTGTGGGTAATACTAGGTGTATGTCTTGCTGCGAGTATCTTTGTGTGTGGGTAATACTAGGTGTATGTCTTGCTGCGAGTATCTTTGTGTGTGGGTAATCCTAGGTGTATGTCTTGCTGGGAGTATCTGTGTGTGATGTTCACTTCTATATATTCTCGTGCACTCCACATTCTGATGTAGCCTCATTATTCAGTTATACATATTATGTAGCCTGATTGTTCTGTTCTCCACATTCTGACGTAGCCTCATTGTTTAGCTGTACACATTCCTATGTAACCTGATTGTTCTGTTTTCCACATTCTGATGTAGCCTCATTGTTCAGTTGTACACATTCTTATGTAACCTAATTGTTCTGTTTTCCACATTCTGATGTAGCCTCATTGTTCTGTTCTCTACATTCTGATGTAGCCTCATTGTTCTGTTCTCCACATTCTGATGAAACCTCATTGTTCTGTTCTCCATATTCTAATGTAGCCTCATTGTTCTGTTCTCCACATTCTTATGTAGCCTCATTGTTCTGTTCTCCACATTTTGATGTAACCTCATTGTTCTGTTCTCCACATTCTGATGTAGTCTCATTGTTCTGTTTTCCACATTTTGATGTAACCTCATTGTTCTGTTCTCCACATTCTTATGTAGCCCCATTGTTCTGTTCTCCACATTTTGATGTAGTCACATTGGTTTGTTCTCCACATTCTGATGTAGTCTCATTGTTCTGTCTCCACATTTTGATATAGTCTCATTGTTCTGTTCTCCACATTCTAATGTAGTCTCATTGTCCTGTTCTCCACTCCACATTCTGATGTAGTCTCATTGTTCTGTTCTCCACATTCTTATGTAGTCCTCATTGTTCTGTTCTCCACATTCTGATGTAGTCTCATTGTTCTGTTCTCCACATTCTTATGTAGCCCCATTGTTCTGTTCTCCACATTCTGATGTAGTCTCATTGTTCTGTTCTCCACATTCTGATGTAGCCTCATTGTCCTGTTCTCCACATTCTTATGTAGCCTCATTGTTCTGTTTTCCACATTTTGATGTAGCCTCATTGTACTGTTCTCCACATTTTGATGTAGCCTCATTGTCCTGTTCTACAGGTATTTGTACTGTAGTCAGTCCTTCATGTTTCAGTAATTGAGACTTTCTTGGAGAGTCTAGTTCTGTCAGATGGTAGTGATCTTCCAAACTTTGCTGATGTCGCTTTTATGTTATTTCTCTTCATATCCTGTTTATTCTTGTCTTCTTCTTCTTAGCATATACTGTCTGTAAACTGTGGTGAAAAGTTCTGGTTGTTTTTACACATCATGTTATCATGTTTGTTTCAGACATATGTTTGACAAGTCTTGTGCAAGTTAACTCCTTATGTATGTTTGTTTCAGACATGTCTTTCACAAGTCTTGTACAAGTTAACTTCTTATCATGTTTGTTTCAAACATGTCTTTCACAAGTCTTGTACAAGTTAACTCTTTATGTATGTTTGTTTCAGACATGTCTTTCACAAGTCTTGTACAAGTTAACTCCTTATGTATGTTTGTTTCAGACATGTCTTTCACAAGTCTTGTACAAGTTAACTCCTAATGTATGTTTGTTTCAGACATGTCTTTCACAAGTCTTGTACAAGTTAACTCTTTATGTTTGTTTCAGACATGTCTTTCACAAGTCTTGTACAAGTTAACTCTTTATCATGTATGTTTCAGACATGTCTTTCACAAGTCTTGTACAAGTTAACTCCTTATGTTTATTTCAGACATGTCTTTCACAAGTCTTGTACCAGTTAACTCTTTATTATGTTTGTTTCAGACATGTCTTTCACAAATCATGTGTAGATCCTTGGCTGTTGGATCAGAGGTCATGCCCTATGTGTAAGCTGGACATCCTCCGGGCATTCGGCATGCAGGTGAGTACACACAAATGTAGTTGTATGCTGGGCATTCAACATGCAGGTAAGTGCATGATATAGTTTTATGCTAGGCATTCAGCATGCAGGTAAGTGCACACAGATGTAGTTTTATGCTGGGCATTCAGCATGCAGGTAAGTGCACACAGATATAGTTTTATGCTAGGCATTCAGCATGCAGGTAAGTGCACACAGATATAGTTTTATGCTAGGCATTCAGCATGCAGGTAAGTGCACACAGATGTAGTTTAATGCTAGGCATTCAGCACGCAGGTAAGTGCACACAGATGTAGTTTTATGCTAGGCATTCAGCATGCAGGTAAATGCACACAGATGTAGTTTTATGCTGGGCATTCAGCATGCAGGTAAGTGCACACAGATATAGTTTTATGCTAGGCATTCAGCATGCAGGTAAGTGCACACAGATGTAGTTTTATGCTGGGCATTCAGCATGCAGGTAAGTGCACACAGATATAGTTTTATGCTAGGCATTCAGCATGCAGGTAAGTGCACACAGATATAGTTTTATGCTAGGCATTCAGCATGCAGGTAAGTGCACACAGATGTAGTTTTATGCTAGGCATTCAGCTTGCAGGTAAGTGCACACTGATGTAGTTTTATGCTAGGCATTCAGCATGCAGGTAAGTGCACACAGATGTAGTTTCATGCTAGGCATTCGGCATGCAGGTGAGTACACACAGATGTAGTTTCATGCTGAGCATTCAGCATGCAGGTAAGTGCACACAGATGTAGTTTTATGCTGGGCATTCAGCATTCAGGTAAGTGCACACAGATGTAGTTTTATGCTGGGCATTCAGCATTCAGGTAAGTACACATAGATGTAGTTTTATGCTGGGCATTCAGCATTCAGGTAAGTGCACACAGATGTAGTTTTATGCTGGGCATTCAGCACACAGGTAAGTGCACACAGATGTAGTTTTATGCTGGGCATTCAGCATGCAGGTAAGTGCACACAGATGTAGTTTTCTAGACTGAGGCATGGCCAAATCCTAGGCATTTCAGCATGCAGGTAAGTGCAAACAGATATAGTTTAATGCTAGGCATTCAGCATGCAGGTAAGTGCACACAGATGTAGTTTAATGCTGGGCATTCAGCATGCAGGTAAGTGCACACAGATATAGTTTAATGCTAGGCATTCAGCATTCAGGTAAGTGCACACAGATGTAGTTTTATACTGGGCATTCAGCACACAGGTAAGTGCACACAGATGTAGTTTTATGCTGGGCATTCAGCATGCAGGTAAGTGCACACAGATGTAGTTTTATGCTAGGCATTCAGCATGCAGGTAAGTGCACACAGATATAGTTTAATGCTAGGCATTCAGCATGCAGGTAAGTGCACACAGATATAGTTTAATGCTAGGCATTCAGCATGCAGGTAAGTGCACACAGATGTAGTTTTATGCTAGGCATTCAGCATGCAGGTAAGTGCACACAGATGTAGTTTTATGCTAGGCATTCAGCTTGCAGGTAAGTGCACACAGATGTAGTTTTATGCTAGGCATTCAGCATGCAGGTAAGTGCACACAGATGTAGTTTTATGCTAGGCATTCAGCTTGCAGGTAAGTGCACACAGATGTAGTTTTATGCTGGGCATTCAGCACACAGGTAAGTGCACACAGATGTAGTTTTATGCTAGGCATTCAGCACGCAGGTAAGTGCACACAGATATAGTTTAATGCTAGGCATTCAGCACACAGGTAAGTGCACACAGATATAGTTTAATGCTAGGCATTCAGCACGCAGGTAAGTGCACACAGATGTAGTTTCATGCTGAGCATTTGGCATGCAGGTGAGTACACACAGATGTAGTTTTATGCTAGGCATTCGGCTTGCAGGTAAGTGCACACAGATGTAGTTTTATGCTAGGCATTCGGCATGCAGGTGAGTACACACAGATGTAGTTTCATGCTGAGCATTCGGCATGCTACCTTTAGGATTTGCTACCTTTGTATGTAACTTAGAATGACTTCTACGCTGACTTGTTCTCTTTTGACCTCATTCCTGATATTATCTCTTCTGGTCACTCCCGCAGCCTTTCTCAGACACCTCATTTCCATGATTATTAATTTTCTCTTCTCTTTGGTTGTGACTGACCATGTCTGGCACTGGTAGCATAACGTGGGAATGAATGTACTTTGTATCAGATGTTTCTTTGTGCTGAATAGGAGTGTATTTTGTAAAACATGATTACTAAAGTGGTTACCAGGAAGTAATGATGGCAGTTGTGATGCTGCTTCTATCTCCCATTGAATTTATCAAACTGGATCATGGGGGGGGGGGGGGGGGGAAGGGGGGGGGGGGGGGGGAAAGCATCCTAAGCCTCATAGGTCTCTAGACCTGAGAATGGATCATGGCCATATCTCCTGTATGATGTAAAATAGATCATGGCCATATACCCTGTATGATGTAAAATGGATCATGGCCATATCCCCTGTATGATGTAAAATGGATCATGGCCATATACCCTGTATGATGTAAAATAGATCATGGCCATATCTCCTGTATGATGTAAAATGGATCATGGCCATATCCCCTGTATGATGTAAAATAGATCATGGCCATATCTCCTGTATGATGTAAAATGGATCATGGCCATATACCCTATATGATGTAAAATGGATCATGGCCATATCTCCTGTATGATGTAAAATGGATCATGGCCATATTCCCTGTATGATGTAAAATGGATCATTGCCATATCTCCTGTATGATGTAAAATGGATCATGGCCATATCTCCTGTATGATGTAAAATGGATCATGGTCATATCCCCTGTATGATGTAAAATGGATCATGGCCATATCTCCTGTATGATGTAAAATAGATCATGGCCATATCTCCTGTATGATGTAAAATAGATCATGGCCATATCTCCTGCGTGATGTAAAAACATGGAAATGGACCCGTACTCACTGATTAGTCTCAGTGGTGAATGCTGTGTTCTCCAGCTAATTCTGGTTCTGCTTTGCTGTGTTTCTCAGTGTGTGGTTTTAGCTCTGAACTGAGCTTTTGATTGACATTGCTGCATGCCACTGTTGTCTGTGTCAATCAAGTTGGAAGCATTGATAAACTGATTGTTTCCATCCACAGATCGGTGGCAGTCAGGAGTCTGTCCATCCAGACCCCGAAGCAGGTCCAGTGACAGCAGTTGCCCAGGAGGCTGAGGTGAGCTCAAGTGTGGAAGACACTCAGACAGAAGAAATCAAAGTCCTTCTAGTCCCACACAACTGTCTTCATTTTACAGCCGGTCGTGATAAAGTTGTGTCCGATTACGAAGAAGCTTCGTCAAGTTTGCTGGGAGCAGTTGGGGGAACAGTCCGCAAGTCCTCGTCGGTCAGCTCTCTCAACTCAAAGGGAAGCAGGTACTCTCGGGCTGAGAAAAGTGACAAAGCTGAAGGTGTCAGCTCCGAGATGAAAGCACTTATTGGGAAAGCACAAGGAAAAGGGGGACACTGGCAGAGCAGGAGCGAGTGTCACGAAGATTATGAAGAAGATGATGCAGACGAAATTGTCTTTAGAAACGCAAAAAGCCTCATGAACGTGATAGAGACGGTCAGGAAAGACCAAAATATAAATGTGATAGATAATCAAGATGAAGACATCGAGAGAGGCAGTGCGGATTCCTCTTCCTTCCAGTCATTGTCTCAGTCTAACAGTATTTCTTCAGAGCAGCTGAAAAGTCGGGCAAGTGCCTCATACGAGGAGTCAGAACCACGCAGAAGAAATGATAAGCAGTTCAGCCAAGACATGGAATCAATGACTTCACTGATTGGCACTGACAGCATCTCTACAGTTGACATTATGAAAGAGGAGAGCCACACAGAGACTGTTGATGCTGTTGTGGAACCTACAGCGTGAGTCTTCTGCCTCCCTTCTACGTGATCTTCTTACGTTGTGCTCCCTTTTGTCCATGATGTCAAGTTACGTGGATGATGACTGTATGCTCCCTTGTTGATATTCATCTGCCTAGCATTCATCATCTTTTGGGCTCTGACACACCTGAGTGATTTTACCTGGAGTACAAGCTATCATTGATGTGGACATTTGTTCTTGTCCATTGCACGAATGTGGTAGCTAGTAGACATTTTGACTGTGTCCATCCCAAGAACTATGGAGGCCGGTAGACATTCGTTCATGTCCATGGCAACAATATGGGGACTATATAATGTGTTTGAGCAGAGAGCAGATGCTTCCAGACTCAGACTGGGCTTTCATGCTGCCTGGAATTAACTCAGTGACTCCCACACAAAATGCTGTGAATTTGTTGGTGACCTTGTTTGCTACCATTAACTCTTGATGCCTTGTGTAGTTGGGACATTAAGCCACTCTGTCCCACATGTTTGATTCCTTCTGTCTCACAGTATTATTATTTAACTCTTTTTTTCTCTTCCCAGGCACTTGCTGCATTAACCTGTTCTGTTTTTATCATTAATCCAACTCTCCATGTTCTGTTCTCATCATTGATCCAACTCTCCCTGTTCTGTTCTCATCATTGATCCAACTCTTCATGTTCTGTTCTCATCATTAATCCGTCTCCTCTGTTCTGTTCTTATTATTAATCAAAATCCCCTGTTCTATTCTCATCATGAAATCAATCCTTCATGATCAACAATTGTTCCCTGTCCCTCCTGTTGAAATAGGTATTCTGTTGTCTATCAGTTGAGGCTGAAGCAGCAGATCAAAAAGTCAATCTCAGTTCACTGTATCAAGTCAGTCCTATGTGTAGATATGCCGGAATAGACAGAAAACAACTAACTAAAAGGTACCTCTGTGCCCAGAGCTGGAGGCAGAAACTCTAATTCTGATTTTAAGGAACCTTTTCACCAGACGCTGAATCAGAGGAAACACTAAGCAATACCTCAACTCCCAACTGTAGGAGAGAAAAACAACAGATCAAAAGACATTTTTTTTTACTAGAGGATAGAAGAGGGAATAAAGACTGCACAAGACTGTAAAATTGTAACCTAGGGTACAACCTGGGGTACAGCCTCGAGTACAACCTGGGATATAACCTAGAGCACAACCTAGGGTACAGCCTGGGGTGCAACCTAGGGTACAACCTGGGGTACAACTTAGGGTACAACCTAGGGTACAGCCTGGGGTACAACCTAGGGTACAACCTGGGGTACAACTTAGGGTACAACCTAGGGTACAACCTAGGGTACAACTTAGGGTACAACCTAGGGTACAGCCTGGGGTACAACCTAGGTTACAACCTGGGGTACAACTTAGGGTACAACCTAGGGTACAACCTAGGGTACAACTTAGGGTACAACCTAGGGTGCAACCTGGGGTACAACCTGGGGTGCAACCTAGGGTACAACCTGGGGTACAACTTAGGGTACAACCTAGGGTACAGCCTGGGGTACAACCTAGGGTACAACCTGGGGTACAACTTAGGGTACAACCTAGGGTGCAACCTGGGGTACAACTTAGGGTACAACCTAGGGTACAACCTGGGGTACAGTCTGGGGTAAGAAGACAGACTGAGCCACTGAGTCTCTCACGTCAAAAATCTTGTTGCTTGAATCATCTCTGTTTCCGTATGTCATTATTTTGTTGATGATAATTATCAAACATTGTCATTGTTATCATCAGTATCATTAACCCCATGTGATGATTGTGTTGCTGTGGCCGTCAGCGCAGCGAAAACATTTGTTCAACAGAGTATTGTCTTTGTTGATAGTTTATTGGTGTTATAATCAAATATTGCCAAAATTCCAGGCACAGCATGATACGGTCGTAATTATTGGTTAATTTGTAAGTATTGTAGATATGTTTTTAAATTTGTTTTCTTCAGCAGTGCTAGCATATCAACCTTCATAAATGAATTTAGTTATTATCAGGGCACTTGAGGCACATGCACAGGAGCTCAGATTTCCTTCTCAGTAAATACATCAACATCTTGGGGCTAATAGTACCAGTCCTTTGCTGTTTGACAAGTTGTCTCATACGTCCGGTGTGCATCTGGTGCTGGCTGTGCCGATCTTTACTCCCAGTTTGTGCATTGACTTTAAAGAACATTTAGAGGAGATTATTTGTGAATGCCTTATTTCCCATGTGGGTTCCAGGACCCCATTGTGGGGAAAACTAGAGTAGACCCACTGCCTACCCAACAAGCATGTCCTAGGAGTCTACTTATTGCGGGCCTCCTTCGAAGCTGGAGTGCGTCTACCTAAGAGGAAAGGACCAACAGCCTGCATATCAATAACCTGGGTCTGTAAATTGGATGTGCATGCAACACTTAGATTCTGGAACAGTCCAGACATGGGCGAACAACCAGAACTTTTCATGGTGTTTACAGCTAGTGAATGCGAATAAGAAGAGAAGGAATGCCTTTATGTGTCAGCAGCAAAAGAAAGAGGAGATAGATATAGCTATGTATTTATACAAGGGAAATTATGTTAGTACAGTGGATGGGGGCTGTCTTGCCTGGTCGGTGCTACAGTTTTAGCTGGTTTATATTTAAGACAGAGTAAGGCTTAGAGTGCAGCCGTCTCATACAGGTGGCTCCACAAACAGGAAGACATACAGTCAGGGTTCCTTCATGTTATTATGTTATCACTACGTGGTCAGTGTCAACACTACACATCATAATGTCATGACTTGGTCAGTGTCAACACTACACATGTCATAATGTCATGACTTGGTCAGTGTCATCATTACACATGTCATAATGTCATGACCTGGTCTATGTCAACACTACACATGTCATAATGTCATGACTTGGTCAATGTCAACACTACACATGTCATAATGTCATGACCTGGTTTATGTCAACACTACACATGTCCCAATGTCATGACTTGGTCAATGTCAACACTACACATGTCATAATGTCATGACCTGGTTTATGTCAACACTACACATGTCCCAATGTCATGACCTGGTTTATGTCAACACTACACATGTCACAATGTCATGACTTGGTCAATGTCAACACTGCACATGTCATAATGTCATGACTTGGTCAATGTCAACATTACACATGTCATAATGTAATGACTTGGTCAATGTCAACACTACACATGTCGTAATGTCATGACTTGGTTAATGTCAACACTACACATGTCATAATGTCATGACTTGGTCAGTGTCAACACTACACATGTCATAATGTCATGACTTGGTTAATGTCAACACTACACATGTCATAATGTCATGACTTGGTTAATGTCAACACTACATATGTCATAATGTCATGACTTGGTTAATGTCAACACTACACATGACATGACTTGGTCAATGTCAACACTGCACATGTCATAATGTCATGACTTGGTCAATGTCAACACTACACATGTCACAATGTCATGACTTGGTCAATGTCAACACTGCACATGTCATAATGTCATGACTTGGTCAATGCCAGCACTACACATATCATCAAGGGGTTAATTATGTTGAATAGTACCAGAATCTATACTAGTAAAGTCATACTTAAGGACCCTTTTTTGCTCCCATGTGTATTGGGCATATAGGGCTAGACCTATATTTTATAGACCAGTTGGTACTCGGTGGGTAATGTGGTTATCATTACCCCAGCGGTCTTTACTTTCTAGGACCCGCTGTTAAGCCACGACACCACTGTGGAAGCTAACAAACTCATCTTCACTCTTTTTTGACTACTGAGGAAGGAGATGGTTCACGTGTCTGAGTGTTGCCAGTGCCATGATTTCAATTGTTGATTCATTCGTTCAGAGATTGTACGCTTGACCTAGCCCCTTCCCTCCCAACCCTGGCCTAAAGATGGTTTCAGAAAGTGATATGAGTGACGGTGATGGATGTGATAGTGTTTCAGAAAGTGATATGAGTAACGGTGATGCATGTGATAGTGTTTCAGAAAGTGATATGAGTAACGGTGATGGATGTGATAGTGACCACCTTACCATCTTAGTGCTAGTTGGTCAATACAGACATGGGAGGAGCACCATCTGCCCAGTGTCAGCTGAAGGGACCTTTGGTTGTGGAGGTTGGCAAACACTCATCTGTGACCTAGGGTTCGTTTCTTTGCAGTGACTGAAGTGATTCCTCTAGCACAGTGAAGATCACATGTTGGCCACATAGCCAATATGTCTACAGGTTTATTTTGTTGAGTACCTTCTATAGCCCAAGCTTACTGGGACTGTTTCTTTTAGCAATGTTTAGTTAACTTTTCAGCTGTTTTCCTACTGTTCATGCTGATCTCTGTGTGCACAAACATCTAGACAAGACAGTGACTTCATACTATGTTAATAGATTCAGTTGTCATGTGTTGATCAAAGTTTCTAGCCAGGATGGCTAACCCAGTCAACATATGCCCACAGAAGTTGGATGTGTTGGCTGAAAGGTGCAGATATTGCAGCCATGCTGTAAATGGACACCACACAATTACGTCTTTAGATGAACACAGAAAAAGAAGATCAAAGCTACAGATCCTGTTGACCACAAACTTGTTAGAAACAGATGTCATGTGATAATCAATTCAACAGTCCTTGTTTACTGACAACTTGTTGTTGCATAACGTATTTGCCAGTTATCTTTCAGCTTTTAGTGATAAAATAAAGCAAACAGTCACTCTGTTGTGGCTTTCCAAAGTCACAGTGTTTGATTTTATAGATTTCATTGTGGGTTATTTCCTGATATTTCCGTGTCCAGAAGAATGGGAGAGTACATTGAGAACTCAGTCATTACTAGACAGTCAAATATTGAACTACTGATGGCACCTTGATGCTCCATACAGGACTCCTAATGTCTCTGAGCCTCTCTTGCTCAAGCCTACCTCACCTTCCTGAAGTAGAGCATATTCTCCTCAGTGATCCCATGGAAGGTTGGGGTTTCATCCCCTAGCGGGAAACTTGAAAGGATAACAGATAAGG